GCACTATCCGGCTTATGACAGAGACAGAATTGTTAATGCGTAGAATTGACGATGCTACCTCAGAGGTTCGATGTGCAGTTTTCACAGTTTTTCCGATTTTAAGACTGTTGTTCCCCGCAAATTTCGTTTCTTTGTCGTAACATTATTCTTGTACTCTACCATAGATTTGCCAGTTCACCTAAGCCTGTGTAGTAGGTACCCGGAGTAACTAGAAAGTTTATTTTCTCCATTCCATGTTTCCCCCGGCGATTAAACGGAGCCGTGATCTTATTAGAATACTTTATATTTTCTCACTTTTTGTTTTTTTGCATTAACGCTTCTGTTCGAAGCCTGCATTTGTATTACTAACTATTCCTCTTTTCAAACTTGGTCCCTTTAGTTTGTAATCCTCGGCACAATACAATTTATTGTATTGAGGCGAGTGTTCGCATTCCTGGGTTATGTGTAAGTAGGGAAGAAGAAAGCCGTTTGATCGCCTCTTCAAACGTTGCTATCGAAGTACAGTTAACTTAACTTTACTTGTTAACTCCCGAATCCTAATGAACTCGACGATCCCACCAGTACTGATGGTTTTGCAATTACATACTTCGGCTCGCCTTGTGATTCTTACTCCTTCAAGTTTAGACGTTTTGTACATGACAGTGTCCTCGTAACCCAGGCATGGATTCTTCCATGTCAGGCCTTAAGTCACTGCAGCCAACCCTTTCCACACTTTCGCTTGGGTCCAGTTTGGCATTCGCATAAGTAAAACACGACTGATTAGAATTTCATATTTCGTACAATGAACTACTGCCAATGTGCCTCAAACCCAGTTCACTAACAGAAACTCCAAACTCTATTTCAGTCTCTTGAATCTACTCGTCGTATGTTGGCGATGTGCGAGGAAGTAAGTGTTTTTCATTTTCTTCGATTACCTTCCAAGTAAATTTTCATCATGAGTCGCCCCTGACTGGTTTTGTGTTTCAGCACCGCAAGTTCCATTTATGATGCCTGGTTGTCTGCGCACCCCGAGTTTTAATGTGTTTAGGTTAATTTAAGGCAAAGATAGTGCCACTGGGTCTTTCTTATTCATCAATTAGTAACTTTTGCTATTGTGTTCTTTACTGCTAATTTCTTGCGCATAAACAAACCTCAATGAAACCCTTTTAGAGGCCCTACTAGTTCGGCAGCTACATCATGTCTAGGATCGCATGTTTCGTGTGCAAATTAGATAAGATATTCGCATTGCTTTTTTCCTAGCGTATATAGCGCTTATCCAGCTGCCACGAACATTTATGGTCATCATAACGCCCGTCATACCTGCCATTTTCCACATTTTCCGGGAAAGGCAATTTGGAGGTGAATTCGTTGGAAGTAAAGGTTTTTCCGGAAGTTAATATACAATCCTAGGAAATCGTGTACAATCAAAGCACAACAGCGGAGAAGTTGCTCAATCCATTGTTGACGCAATTCAGTCCTAATCTGATGGCTATCATCATGCTTCCCGAATGGTTTCTGTCCTTATCGTAGTTAACTTTGAATATTCTGCTTTCGTTCAAGCGGTTTATCTCGGGTGCTTCGTAATCCTTTCCACTATCACCCAACAACTTAGAGGCTGTGTTTATGTTGCCTCGAATATGGCCGCTTCATATTTCTGCCAGGGGTGCGTATTTGAACTTTGGTTTTGAGAAATTATCTCAACTGTAATACACTCTTAGATCTGGTCCTTTTCAGCCCTATCTACCAATGTTGCCCTAAGTATGAAGCTTAGAAAAATTGATGCGCCCCTTTAAAGTTTTGAGTAATTGCTTAGAACAAATGCTTATAATTGGAATTTATATACGGACACCACTTACTAGTTAAGCTGGCTCAGCTCCGCAGGTTTACTATCTTCCATTTCAGTTATTCGGCGACAGACATTCGGGCAAAGTAGCCGCAGATTGCGTGACTGGGTCGGCTAGCTTCTATTTTACTCGTCATCAGGTGTCCACATCGGCGCCGTCGCCAGTCACGTAGCACAAGATGATGTCCAAAGGGACTTCGCCTCTAGCACCCTGCCTAACGAAACACTGCAAAAGTGGGAGCTGAAAACGGCAGGAAATCTTATGTAATAACGGCACTTTTGCGCCGACCCCTCGCTTAGCATGAAAGCGTCTTCCCCAATCTGAGTAGTCTCCGTTCTCCGGATGTGTGTCAGGGGGTCAAGTGTTAGATTATTTGCTATCTTTGCACATCACATTGTATTTCCACCAAAAATCCGTTTTTATAAGGTGCCCCAAAAGATGCCCACACAGGCGGTGTTTGTATTCGCAGTATCATTCAGACTCAGTCTTCACGGTATCTAAAAGAGGCGGATCCGCTGGGTGCAGAAGCTGGGCCAAGTGTACATTCCAATAGAACGCTGTTTCTAGGGACGACAGTGTTGTATCCTGTCTATCATTGAACGTAGGAGTAGCTGGATTGCTAGATTGCCTGGTTCTGAAAGTTCGTTTAGAGTACGTTTGATCAGGATTTAGCGTCTTATAGGACCGTTTTGGCTTCGCACTATCAGAAAATGCTAGACTCGGTGTTTTATGCACAAAAAACGAATGTTGGGTGAAGACGTTTTGCCCTACAGTTAGTTACCATACCCTCAGTCATCAGGGCCTAAAGAGTCTTGTGCGCAGTTATTCGGGATGTGCCCATCTTACCGTCCGTCGTGTAGATGGCTGGTGTCAGCATCAATTTTGTGACCGATCGTTATCCTTCACACGGGTTAGCAAACTATTTTACCATTATTTGCATCTCGAGAGTCTTTTAAGGTAAGGGGTGAGAAAGCTGATCTAGTGTAATTATGGTTGATCATACGCGAAAAGGTTTTTATGCTCTCATGCTCGGTTCTCCGTGCATGCCGGTTAGAGTCACCCATGAGACTCCTAGATGGTATGCAAAATACATCGTTCGCGGCCGGACATAGTCACCCATCCTTTGTCATCTATGGCACGCCAGAGAAACAGGTCATATTTTCCTGTGGCCTTTCCACCTTTCACCCTGACTTAAGAAAGTCGACGACATTTAAGAAGGCCTGCGCATTTATCTCCGCTAATGAAGGATTCACGCGCAAGTTTAACACTACTAGCCAACGCTGATTGACACGATGCGGGCCTTTCCGCTCTGCCATCGAAGTGCATAGAGCATTTCAACCTAGTGATATATGGCCAAACTGGCTGTTTTTAGAACGTGGGACATCACTTAAAGCTGTTTTGGCGAGTACCGTTTCATTTTAGTGCAAACAGCCCGACGGCCACATATCATAGTCTGCCTTTTTGGTGCGATAAACGTAGATTCTAAGGTATGAAATCCATACGATAGAATCCCCATTTTCTGGGAAGCAACAGGCCTTCAATAATAACTACCGAAGGACTTGTGTAACTCAGCTATACTACAACCTTAGTCCATACGCGCCTAATATTACGACTTAGTAAATCTCTGGCTGGTGTACGTATTGTGCATTTCCAAAAGTCGACCTTAAATCTGGTTCATGACAGCTCTGTTGGGTAAAAAAGCGAGGCAACGAAGTATTATTCCAGTTCAGATTTATCAGTGGATCAACTCGTTTGGTTGTTTCAAGATCCACATATGAATCATGACATGCCTTAGTCCGCTGTACTATTTTATTCATTCGTCAAATATCTCTGGTTTTTCCGCCTCGGTGCCTTTCCACTGCGTATGACTTCCCCTTTCCATTACTGAACTATTGACTATCTGAAGTCACCGATTGAGTCAATGTACTTCTTAACTCCTCGTTAACCGACGGCTGATGCTGAGTGCTATTTATCACATAGTTATGCTCATGAATACACTACTTGAAATTTCTACAGATTTCCACATCCGTATGTAAACTAGTTCGGTGACAGTCCATTATAATCTCAGACTTTTCCCCCCTCTATACCGTCGGGCTTCTGCTCGGGTAAACTACTCTCATGGGAGATTGCGAGGCGGTTTTTGGTATCACTTTGTCGACTCAAGCGTGCCTTGCGGTCTGATAACACCTTTGATTTCGTTGCTAAAAGGCAGGTTGCTGCGTATGGCGGACTTTTTCTAGACCTGTCTTTGAAAGCGATCTGATCAGTAGCAAACATGCGCTGTGATTTTATTCCCGCGTCTGTCTGGCAGTTTTAAAGAGATTTGCGCGGAGATGCGAGAACACATCATTTTGCTACAGCTTAATTCTTCGAAATTCTACCTAGAGACATTCAGAGCGGCCACCACCAATGCCCTCCCCCCCACTGTGGGATTTTATAATGTGGTTTTCATGCTTTTCAACGACTAGTTTTTGTCTCGAGACTATGTTACAACAAACCAACGCTAGAGATGCTTGCCGCCTACACATCTTGCTGTTTAGAGGTCGTAGCAGCATGACTAAATCGCTTTTTCTATAAAGGCAAAAGAAGCCGGGATTTCCACTCTTGTTATGCTTGATGATCAAGGCGGTAAGGCTGCATCTCTGCATCCCAAAAACCTGTTGTGACACCGTCGTAATTGGTCCTGTGTTGTCTTCTGTACCAGTTGCATGTGCCCCAACCGTTATGAACCCATTTTATTGCAGAGCAACTGGATCGTATAAATGAGGGAATGGACCAAATCAACGAGGACATGAAAGACGCCGAGAAAAATCTGGACGATCTGAATAAATGCTGCGGTCTTTGTGTCCTACCTTGGAACAAGTAAGAGGTTTAACGTTTTCCTTTGCACTCACGGTGGTTCGGTCTGAACAACTGCATTGTATGTTAGGGGGCTGGATAACCATGTTTGCCAAACTTCGTTCATCACGCTTGTGCAATGGGCTGATGACTTTGCCGTTTCACATGAGCTACAATCAATAGGTGTTTTTGGCGGATTTAAATAGTTCATTTGACCCAATTGTGGAAAACGACGGCTTCAGCGAGAGTTGGACCAATGAAAGTAAGGGCAAGGCATGAGTACAACCAACCCTAAGCACCTGGGCTACGAGGCCTCACAGAGAGCCCTGCATTTACCCACATTTGGGCCAGACGACTGCAGTGTGTGGAATCCACCGCGTCTGATACAGTAAGCTGACTGCCAAAGCAGGATCTCACAAGCAATCGATCTAGAACCCACAAGGTGGCTACCAGGTTCACTTAATTAATAGGTTTTTCTGCAGATTTCAATAATTAATTTGACTCAGTCGTGAAAGACGCGACGGCCTCGGTGATATTTGAACCCCCGACTGCAAGCACAAGGCTTGAGTATGGCCGACGCTCTAGCCATCCCCCTCCCCCAGCTCTAAGGACCAAAACCCGCCGACCTCGTCATGCGGGCGGCGTGGGGCAGATGAGTGTTAATAACTTAATTGCCCTTGCGATACCTATAAACACTGTTAACTTTGTACATTTTCACTCCTTCATGTAATTGTATTGGCCTGACGAAGAATTACCGAAAACGCGTGTTAGCCAATTTGACTTTTCAATTGTAACATGGGAATATTCGCTGAACTTAATTTACGTCTTTGGAAGCCTTGAGGTATTTTGCATTGTCTAATGGATAGGAAACTTTTATGAGACGTCCATTTTCGGATTGAGTTTCCCAATTCACATATTGCCCGACAGTCCGACCTTCGTTGCCGACGATGTCTACCGTGTGCTTCACAGCAAGGTGAAGCAGGCTCAGGAACGTGTGCGTGAGTCAGTTTATAATATTAGTAGGCTTGCGCAGCATCTACCGCCCTCCCTTCTCCCCCATCTGGGTCCGATGTCAGGACAGAGTCAAGAAGACCGGAGGCGGAGGGGGGACGCAGCCGGATGGCGCGGTCTAGCCCGCACCTTGGCGTTCCACTCCACACCCCCTGGTCCACAAAACAAGTGATCAGGTTTTTGCAGGTTTTTTTTACCAAAAACAATGGTGGGAGGGATGACGGCAGGGGTCCCAGTGTGCAACTGGGCCTGCTACCGCAACCCGAAATGTTGGCATTTGTTATGCCTGCCAGAGTCCGATATGGCTCCCGTGTTGGCCCAGCGCATCTACCGCGTGCAGGTTTGGGGGGCACAGCACGAACGGGTGAAAACTATTTAGATTTGTCATCCGAGTTAACGGTACGGAATTTCAATGATTTCGTTTGCAACTTACCGCTGTATATGTTCGCGCCGTCACTTCCGCTTGCACCAGGAGGGGGTGGGAGGGCAGCCACCGTGTATCCATTCAGTTGGTCAAGCCGTTGTCTCTACAAATTTCTTGTGTTCCAACTTGCAAAAGTAATCACAGCAGTGGGTACGCTGTTCTCGAGTAGTCTTCATTTTTTCAAGTTCCTGCAATTTGATGTTATCGGGTCCTCTTTTGAAAACACTCAAAAGTGTCTACTACTTTTTTGTCTTTGTGGTCTTTTGGCCTTTGGTCTTTGTGGTCTTTGTCTTTTGGTCCTTGTGGTCGATGTTTCCAAATCCAAAAAGATTTGGTCTGTCCCATTTGGCGTGCCTACTAGGTATGTAACATGTCCTCGAGTTGCTGGTAGTGCAACGACCTTCAGTGAAGACTAAACGAAGTAAACAGGCTTGTTAGCCTGCTGCATAAGCTGACATCAATTACTGCAGTAGCTCGTCCATCGGCTTTCCATTCCAGAGTTGGTTACCCAGTCATAATGGGTAGTGGACGGCCTCAGTCGGTAGACAGCTCTGCTACAGTAGGCCTAATATTCTGTGAGCTGTTACGGTAGAACGGAAATGAGGGATGGTTTAGCTGGGCACACGCTGTGTCCGTTCTATTTATTGTGTGCTTGTTTACTATACGGGCACTCTTTCGAGACATTTCTGTGCGAATGTAGAACCTAACTCGCGGGTTCCGAAATTATCTGCCGCTTTTAGGTATTTGTTGTTATAACGGCATTTTTGTGACCGATTTAGCGGACTGCATGCTGCAGGATAAAGTTTGGGTTCACTACAAATTAGTCTCGCCAACCCTGTCAATAACAGACGAATGTACGTCTAGTCAGCCCCACCCTCTAATCGTTTACTCAGGGTTCGGCCATCGACCGCCATCGACTGCAAGCTAAGTCGTAGATATCTCACTGAACTCAGCTCAGGCCGGTGATCGAAGTTGACACCGGGAAATATGCACGAATGTATTTAAAGCTGACATTGCGCACCAATTAACTATTACTGTAATCTACTGTCAAGGAATTCTACCGAAGAACAGTTGTTTGTAGTTAAGTTAATTTGTAGCATGCATCCAACAAGCCAGCAAGTTAGGAAGCAGTCTACTAAGCAGTGACTGGACGTTATTGTTAGGGCGCATTGCATGATTTCTGGGAAATAGTTTCCTAGAAAACTGTCAATATTTAACTCGCCGATTAACGGCTAGCTTGGAGGACGTTTTATTGTGTGATAATCTTCGAGCTCTAAGCATTAAGTGTATCGCATCCAATTCACATAGTTTTGAGCAGTCGACAGTACTTTTCCTTAGTATGAACACGAGTCAGAAGTGCCTGATTGAAAACTTGTCATTACTTGCTTACATTTGATTGTACTGCGCCTGGTTCTCAGATTAGCAAAAGTAAGAGATCCGGGACGGTAATCTGAGGAAAATGAATTGCTCACCTGATCGGGGGACTTTTCTGGCTGACGTTTCGAAGAGCTGGGGCTGCTCTCCATTGTCAAAGCGTCAGGGGGAAAAATCGATCAGAATTTTTGAATAGACTGCCGAATTAGTTGGCTTTGGGCTGATCGGTCTTTTTCTTCTTTCGCTGCCTTGGCCTACTGGCCGTCGCCTGTGAGTGTTGGTGGCCTCCTACATTACGTGTTTTCACCTCAATTGGGGTTAGTTGCGTTTGCGTTCCCCTTTTGGGTGAAGTGGTCGACAGGCCGTGCTTTCTCGCTATTAGGCTCCGCATGGTTGTCTTGTCTTTGTCACGGCGTACGTAGTGACGTAGGACTTTATAGGCCGAAGGAAGGTCTAGATGCCTGTTGATGGAGTTAGCATCTGAGTACCAAGCCTCAAGTGTGAGACGCTCAGTCCTTGAAGTGTCCCTACCTAAGACGGCTGCTCATTGAAAATCAAAACTGTGACCAGTTCCCCCGATGTGGGCCGCAAGCAGTGAGTTTGGGTCTAGTCTCCGAGTTGCCAGTTTGTGCTCATGTAGGTGGGTCTGCAATTTCCGTCCGGTTTCCCCAACGTAGTTCCAATCTCCATGCTTACAACGTATTTAATAGACAACTGCTGAGGTTTCAGTGGGTGGCAGTATGTCTTTGGGTTGCATCAAACGGCAACGAATTGTTGCCTGGGGTCGATGGGCAGTGCCTACCCTGGCGGATTGTAACCGTCTTGAAACCGCCTCTGAGACTCCTTTAATGTGAGGAATAGCCCTCCAGACTTCGGGTTGTTCTTGTGGCCGTCGTCTGTTCACTCGGCGCTTGCTTTGCTTGATGAAGTGGCTTGGGTATCCATTGGTTCGAAAGAGATCATGAAGGTATTGTCGTTCAACTCTTGTCGGCTGGTGTGCTGCAGTGTGTTTCAACTCTTTGGAACAGAGTACGGACACAGCTGCGTTTGTGAGAGAGGGGGTGATTGCTGTTGAAGTGCAGTATTTGTCTTCTGTTGGTGGCTTTTCTAAAAACAGTAGTTTGTAATTGTCCAGTTGCACACCGACGCACAAGGACATCGAGGAAGGGAAGTTGGTTGTTTGTTTCGACTTCCATCGTTAATTGGATATTCCGGTCAACCGAGTTCAGTAATTCTTTAAAGTGCTCCACATCAGATGATTTGACAATGGCGAAGGTGTAATCGGCGTAAAGAGCCCAGAACTTCATCGAGCGAAGCAAGCGCCGCGTGAACAGACGACGAAGTAGCTTTTAATGTCCTGTTTCTGCCGCTCAGGCAGTCACCCCGCTAACCACACAGTGGCGTACGAAAATCATACGGGACGACAGTCCGGCCCCTTCCAATAGTGGCTTGCCTATGCCCAGATCAGAAGTTTTTACACGCCTATCAAACTCAGCTTTGTCCAATCTGTCAGAGCTGTGTGGTGTATGATGCTTCTTTCTAGGGCATAGGTACATAGCTCTGCTTCAAATTGAAGAGGACTTCCGTTTGACGACGTGAAAACCTTTTTCTGTCCAATGTTAGGCGCACAGATGTCGACCCACGGACTTCAACGGCGTCGGTTGATTGGACTAAACAGTTGAATCTTACGCGCCGAGAGCAGTAGTACTGTCTCCTATTACTATGGAAAGTGGGTGAATAAGAACTTTCGGGATGGCCAAAATAGGGTTTCGTTGTATTTGTCAACAGCTTTATTAAGGCAGTTGAAGGCACGTAGAGAAGGCACGATCTTTTAGCGATTCTTCCTGATTGGTCGCTAATAGCCAAAATCGTTGATCTTGTTGATTTCAAGGCCCTCCCCTGATTAGCTTGAGGGCAGGATTCGCATGGCGCTCTTGTAACCCCGTCCTTTTAGCTGGCCAAGGGAGCGAGCAACATCTTTTCAGGCGGTAGCTTCTTGTCCGTCTGCCTCGTAAACTAAGAATAATGAAGTAAAAAATGCCAGCGTTCCTTTCCTGAGCGCCGAAGACCATTGGGACCACCGTTCTCTCCTAATCCGACTTATCGGTACACCACATCCTCAGCGGCGGTTCGAAAAGACCATTAGAGATATGACGTTTTGGACGGTATCTCCCCCGCGACGACGAAGTGCGTGACCGAACCATTGGAAACGACGACCA